GCCTCGAATCGGCCCCCGATGGAGCTGGCCGCGGCGGCTGCCTTGCGCTGGGCTTCGGAGCAGCCTGCCGCTGTCCTGCCGGCGCAGCTGTCCAAAGCAGGTAAGTGGGAGGAGGGCCGGGCCGGGAGAACATGGGCGCTGGGCACTGTCCCCGGGGGGCAGCCCTAGGTGGCTCCGGGTGTCCCCCGGTAAAGAAAGCCTTGGATCCCGCAGAAAGAAGGAAGGGAGTTCTTTCTGACCAAAGGGTTTAAGTGCTCTCCCAGTCTTACGTGATTCCCGGTTTTGAGTGGGTGTGCTTGTAAAGCCGGGGCTTGATTCTACAGCTCCGGAAGTCATGATGAAGACTGTAGTACCCCTGAGCATCTGCAGAGTTCACCGCTGAGGATCTGCAGCCGGTTCTGGCATGCCTGGATCGGGTTTAAGGGCTTTCGCAGATAGAATCGCAAGGCTCCTGGTCGGAGAGGCTGTTGTAGAGGATGCGTGTCCCACTGGAGTCGCGTACTTGCGCCTGTCAGTTTCGGCGTCAGTGTATCAATATAAGCTGCAGGGGAAAGAATACAAGATGATGCCGAGAGCCGGGCACCGATCCTGCGGGGGAGATGATGTTACTATACCGGCGGAAAGCACAGAGTCTGCTCAGATTTCTGACCAGAATCGGGCTGGCAGTGATCCAGCTTACCCTGAGTGATGGGAGACTTTACGGGGGATTCGGAAAAGTGGGATGAAGTGACGACTCTGTCTTGAAACTAGTAAGGAAAAGGGATGAGAACTAGAAGGAAGGAAGGAAGGAAGGAAGGAAGGAAGGAAGGAAGGAAGGAAGGAAGGAAGGGGTTGCCACTCACTGGAGTTGCTGGCCACTGGGGATGGGGGGAACTCCTTTCTTTCATCCTCTTGAGATGGGTTAAGGGGAACTGCATTAGGGCTATACTACATTCCGGACCTTGGAGGAGTTTCCCAAAGGGAAGTGCAGCGCCGGCTGGGAGACTTCGGTAGCCGTACGTGGGAGGAGGGTTTTGGCCGGAAAGTGCCGGGGATGCTGAACTTGAGAAGACAGGAGAACTCTTGGAGATTCACAGGTGAGGAGGGGCGCGTTTTGGAAAGGAGACCAGGCGATATGGGTGTGTGCGCGCGGGCGCGCCAGTTTTCTTTGTAAAACCGCCTTCGGAGAAGGCCCAAAGACCCTCGGTTGGAAAGGGCACAGAAAGTTTTGCTTCTGGCACAGATTTCTGACTGTAATTTAGAAAGACGCAAGGACACAGAAGAACGGGCGCCGCTTTCCTAGTTCCCTTCTGCTCTGAGTGTCTCTGTTGAGGGTTCTTCCTTAATGGCCACGTCTGCCCCCAAACAGCCCCGGCCGAGAGCTACAGCTCGTTTCCTTCTGTCGGGTAGATTTTGGACGGACGATCCCTTTCCCACCAGTTCAGGCAGAATCAGTTCGACGTTGAGTCGAGACCCATTCCCTTGCTCGGGCAAGGAAGGCAGTTTTCTAAGAAGCGCCGAAGAAATGGGTGATGGTCCTCTTAGTAGCAAACGACTTCAAACTAACTTCGAACATCACCAAAAGCGACACTTGCCGCTTTCAAATCAATAAGCTTGTGAGAGGTTTAGTATATTGCCTTCTGCCCTCAGCCCCAGCCCCGGCAATTAAAATGATTAGGCGTCTGGAATTTGCCCCAACAAAACTCCGAGACATCTTCAGGAGATTCGTAATTTTCTATTTCACAGTATTTTGATTTTACTACTACTTCACTGTGTTACTTGAGCACAGCCTATATATAAGCACCCTTGTGTGGTTATGTGTTGGCTATACGTCACCCTTGTGCCTATCAGAACAAGACGTGCAAGTTTTTAAAGGTGTCCTCCCATCTCTGATTTATTTTCGAGTAAACCCTTGTAGGACCCACTTTCTCCCTGCGACTTTTCATGGCGGCTTTACGTCCCTTGGTTCTGCCTTGTAGACTCCATCCTCTTAAAAATGAGGTGGAAGCTTTTCAGTCACTGAGGGTTGGGGGGCGCGTTTTTACCCGGGGTAGCGGCGGATGATAGTCCCTGCCGAAGGCTGGGAGGTGGACCTACACATTTCAAGCTGAGGCACCGAGAGAAGCGGATTTGTCCGTGTGCGTTTATTAAAAATCTTTCCTAGCTGGCATTTGGGCCCCATCGGTCTCCTGTTGGGCCAGTTTGGTTCTTCCAAACGTCTAACAAGATTTCTCTGGAGGAGGGGGAGAGTGCAGCTTAAATTCTTGCTGGTCCGGAAGTGCTCTGGTTGGGAGAGATTAGCAAAATGTCAAAGATTAAAAACCGGAGAGCGTTTGGGTGAAACCGGACCTCGCTGAGCGGACAGTGTATGAACGTAGAAGAGGGTTTTATCGTCGTGAATTAAGCAGCCCTCGCTAGTTCTTAGTACTGCTATCTTGGCCCTTTAGACGGGACAGATTTTTCGGTTTCGTAAGGACCGACCTCATATACGTCGCCGAGAAATAATTCCGTGTGTGTGCTCGCGCGGGTGTATGCCATGTTAGTCTAATGTAGCAAAAGCAGCAGTCAAGTGTGATAGTTTAAATAACACATTTTGTTTGGTTAGGTTACAAAATTCCGTGGATTGGAGTTCTTTTCCGGTTTAGTCTTTAAAACGAGGAAATCTTGACCGACAACAGAAACATAACGTCTTGGATTAAACCGCTGTCATCTTTAATTCCGCTTGAAATTGTTGCTGCCGTGCAGTTAAATTTTACACGAAGTTCAGCGCCTTTCCCTGCGGAGGGGTGGTGGTTTCGACTGCTCGCTGCCCGAATTGCTCAAGCGGATCCTTCGTTCTTCGGAAGTATTAAATTCTTTTAACTCCAGTAGGACTTCACTTCTTGGGGGGGGGGGGAGCTGCGATCCAATATACATTTTCCCTGTGAATAGCCGCTCTGTACTAATTGGGATTTACTTCTGAGTAGACACATATAGCACTGCTGTCTTAAATTGTAATCCTGGGTCATTTTATGTGAAAATAAGCCCAGTTTGCCGACTCAATTGCACTTGCTTTCCGTGTCCACATGTGTAAGATTGCATTGTTACCTTGCACTTCTGTACCATTTTATCTAGGATTAGGTCCCACCGAATTTAGCTGGACTGTGTAAATTTGCACAGGATTGCGTTCTAAATCCTGCCCTACTTAATGAAACTGGATGGATCTTCACCTGAAATGTATTGAAAGCAAAGACAGCCAACCAAACGTGTGTCGAAATTTATGGATTGTAGCCATGACAGACTTTAAAAAAGAAAGGTTGAGTCTCTTCTTGTGCAGTAAATTGGTGGAAACAGAAAGGTCAAACCAGAATTCTCTAGACCGCATAAAATGGATCAGTAGATGGCAAACATGATAGCCAAAGATGAAAGGCTGGTGGGGGTGGAGAGCCATGGCAGACTCTCTGACTGAAACCCAGTAGTGCTCCTGTAAAGGTTAATAAAGGCACCAGGGCAGATCTACCAGTACCCAAGAGTGCCTTGGGCAAGGATTATGGTGTTTCATTTTCTGACTCAACAGCTGCTTCTCACCCACTTCTTCCTGTTTCTCCCTTCCTCCGCCTAATTAAATAATAATAAATTCCAGTGAATGGAATATCTTAAGAGGGTCGTGGACATAACTCCTATGAGTTGTGAATATTTTTCTGACACCCTGCACCTTAACATTCCTCTTCCCCACCAGCAGCACAATTTTTTGTTGAGAAAGTATGGTTAGCCATGCTTTGGCTGATGCCATTGTGCCCAAGGATAAAGACTCCTTGAAATGGAGGGTGTGTGTGTGGCGGCAATCAAGGCCACAAAAGCGTCCTGTTAATTGCAGGAGAGGCCGTGATTCGGTGTTTAGGTGCTAGTACTGTAATTCCCATTAAACTCAAGGGAACATTCCTGTCAGTAAACTTGTGTAAGATTGCATTGGGCTAAGATTATGATAATAATGTCACTTCTCCTGAATGAGAAAAGAAAGAAAGAAAGAAAAAGAAAGAAAGAAAGAAAGAAAGAAAGAAAGAAAGAAAGAAAGAAAGAAAGAAAGAAAGAAAGAAAGAAAGAAAGAAGGTAACAAGAAAAATGAGAAAAGTGTTACTTCAAAATATGATGTCTTTCTGTCTTCAAATTATCCCACTTTTGTATTATAAAATAGTATTCAAGGCAACTAACAGAAAAAAGCAGATAATTTTTCTGCTTCTGTACATTTATAATAAAAGAGGTAATAGGGCAAGATTAAAACCACCTGCCAAAGACAAATGAGTAAAGAATAATGCAAAGCTCTTCTTGGTAATGATGATAATTAAGTCTCCTCTGGTGAGTCAGAAGCCAAAAAGGACACGGCCAAAGAGTGTCAAGAACATGAGAAAGTTTCCCAAGGGAGGGCAGCTGCAGCAAAGGCCCTCCTAAGGTGTTTAGACTTAGCCTAACATGCCTGGAGGTAGAGAGGGCCTGTCCTTCCGACCTCAGTTATAGAGGTGTGTGTGTGGTGGGTGTGTGTGGTGTGTGTGTGTGTGTGTGTGTGTGTGTGTGTGTGTGTGTGTGTGTGTGTGTGTTCAGGTTTCAGTAATAACCCACATTTTGAATGGCATTTTGAAAGTATGGTTAGCCAGTGGCAATTGCTCTGAAATGATATTGACAGAGAATGCTGCATTCCAGGCTGGAAGTTTCTGGCTTCAAAAAAGTAAATTCAAGTCTGGTTTGAAACCACCTGTCAGCTTGGATTGAGTGATACAGCTCCTAAAATCCCCCCCCTTCCGTTTTTCCTTCTTAAACTACCAAGGCCTATACTATTTAATAGTGTACATGGGATAAGAAGAAGAACTTTTTTTCAAAATGTTATCAGCCTGATCCTGTGTGCACAGAGCATTTCAGAATTATTCGGTCCCACTTAGAAGGAAGAGCTGCACATATGAAGCCCAACAGAACTGGGTTGTGACTCGCCTTCCATAGTCTATTAAAATGGTGGCGCTTGGTTTTACACTACTTTGCCATTTCTAAAATATGAAGATGAGTGTGTTGAGCCACATTCTGCGGTGATAACAAATGTGAGATAAAATGCAAAACCTCATTGGTGGGTGTATGGCAAAATCAGAACATTTA